AACCAATCTTCCTATAGAAATTTGATTGTGGATTATGTGATATTCCAGGTCCTGAGAACTTACAACTTGTTGTTCTGTCACGTCTTTATCCACTTTGAGAATCCCTGGATAACCGAAATCCAGAACTTCAACTTGACTGATAGGAAGATTGAGAGAGATGTGTGTGGCTGTCTGTGTTCCACCGAAGAGGAGATTGTCCGGATTGAAATCACTGTATACAGAACGAGGGTGTCGGTAACCAGTCTAAGGGAAAATATTTACATACGCATGAAGAATCCCTTTCGTGACAGCCCAATTAACGACCTGCTTTCGGACTATCGGTTTCGCGTAGCCAAAAATCTCGTTTTCTTGCTGGCGATTAGCGTTCTTGTATTGTATGGTCTCCCTTATTGGTACTCCATCCAATTTCTTCATCATTATGACCGCTACTTTTTCTCCATCAGGTCCAACGGGAGCCATCCCCGAGTCGACATATAGACCAACAGCTTTGAGGGCTTTGACCTCGCCTATTTCTCTATAATCTGTTGATTTGTATAATATTTTCACGACAACCTCGTCTTTTTTGTAGCCGCTATAATCCTTCTTCAGCTTGGCCACGCTTTCACTGTGACCACCTCGATCGCCATTTATCCGGTCACCAATGTCTTGTGTGTTCAAGTCTAGAATCTTGGCTACGTGTATACAATCAGGACCATAGCGAACAAACAAAAATGACATCTACTCACTAAACGCTGTCCGATCTTCCTCGTCCGCGTAACTACCATAAAATTCCAGAATCCAGGGAGGCTGTAAAAAGTGAGGTTGTGTTGTGTTAACACAGTACATCGCTCACATTGCGCTCTTTTGTAGTACCAAGCAATTCTTTCTTCATTTCTTTATTGTATGAGAGCGAGAGCGGCGACAGCGGCAACAGCGCAGCATGGGTGATCGCCGTTAGTAGAATCGAGACACAAAGGAGAAGCCTGAAGAGAGTAGAAGAGCTTGAGGTACACATTGCAGAAGAAGGAGAGATGAATGGAAGCGTGGAGGAGTATTAATGAGTACAAACAAGATTTTGCTCTGACCCGCAGAGGAAGTTAGAAGAGGATTGGACGCTGCATGCCTTTTGACTTGCAGAAGAACAGATCACCTTAGGCCATCAAATTGATATGATATCTCATATAGCATAGCTGATCAAAATGTCTCTCAAAAGGCCTCAATCATCGAAGGTCAGCCGCACGTCCCCATCCTCGTTTAAGGGTTCAGGGCCCAGGGCGACAAGAAGACTATCTCACCATAGAACATGAAGCCAAACTCATTACAATCACAGTGATGGTTCTACAAGCATAGTAATGCGCTCTCTTTTTCATATTCTCTCAACGTAGTCCAGAGATCAACGTTTCGCAAGATATCGTCGCCAGATGCCCTCTCTGACTAGCTTCCGCCGTCAAGGGCACCATATGACTATTCCGTCGGAGCGTCTTGAGCTCCTTGTGACGAATGCTCTTGGCTCGTATATGTAAATTTTGGATTTGCATAGCCGTTACCACAGCATCTCATGCAAAAACCGTGACGATGATTTCTCACTCACCGCTTCGGGTAGACGTTGGAAATCGGCATGGGTAGCGCAGTGTCGCTCTTGTATATACCAAGAATACGCAGCCCTTTACCTGGAGTCTTTGATGATTGACTGGATTTCATCATGCTCACGTTCCAGCGTACTTGGGAGCGAAGGACTTTCAAGGGATTGCAGAAATTGATACGGTCCTTCGATACGAGTATCATGAAAACTTCCGAATATTGCAGCTTACCTGGAGGCAGAGGTCATTAATTTGGGCGTGTTTGACCTTTGACAAGGAGTCGGGAAAGCATACGTTTCTTACAAAAACGAAATGGTGTTGCGAAAGACCAACAACATCCAGCGTAGGGATAATGCATGCACACATAACCCTTACCATTAGCAACAGGACAACCAATCTCCAAAACCATTACTTACATTGCTTCGTGTATTCGCGTCAGACATGGTCATTCTCACACTAACAAAGCTTGTGCTCCCGGTCGAAGTGGTCAGATGAAAGAGTGGCCGCCCATAACAAGATGTCGATCTTCTTCATCAGAGCTCCAAGACTGCATCAAAGAGTGATATTGGACGCTCATGGAGTGAAGTAGAGGGATCCACGCAGAATCAATTTGAATGTTCTTCATCCTTTGATCTGTTAGAAGACAAAGGAGATAGCCAACCAAGAGAGAGAGGTAACAATCAGCAAATGGTATGACTGCGCCACTCTTGAGCTTCCGAAGAATCCGGAGTAGCTGGTTGCGGTCTGTGGATTTGCAATATAAACATGAGTGAGTTTCCCTCGGATACAAGACGGATTTTTGGGAGATGTTTGCTCATAGAATTTCATTTGACACCGGTGAGAGAATTTTCGTTAATGTATCATGGATGTATAGATTTTCGAAATATCGCCCACACTCACCTACCCAGGGTTTTCAGAAAAACAGTCTATGACCCTGTCTCAGATCTGTGCTTTCGTTTTGTAGATAGGCGAGAGATCCGCATAGATAGCTTCCAGAGACTAAAATAAGCCACCATTGTTGAATCGAAATTCATCCAGATCTTTTTCTAGAGTCCTCATTCTCACACCCTGCTGGAGAGAAGCACTCTGCAAGTCCATCGTTCCAGACTCAGTCCTCCGCAGGAGCTCGAGAACAGTAGTATTGATATTCTGCAGAAAAAGAAAGTGTCAGTTTAGCCTCGCCAAAAGAATTATAAATCACTCAGACTTACCCGTGACTTCTCCAGCTCATTATTGGCCCTGCTTATTTCTTCGCCTTGTAGACAAATGTCTGTAGCAACTTTCTTGGTTAACACAGTTGTAGTCGCGCTGGAGCCAAGAAGAGAAGCCGCGAGTACCATGGCTGAGGCTGGCGCCTCATGAGACTGTCCGAGTCGTTGTTAACCTTCTATCATCACTTACATCCGAAGAACCATTCAGGACGGACGCTAGAGAACAATTAAATTAATCAAAAAGCAGCAGCCTGGTCGCAACACAGTGCTAGTACAAGTTTGAGGAGAAGGTTGAATTTCGGAGATGCCGGGAACGACGAATTCCTAGTTAGTAGTCTCAGTGTCACCCCAAATGATATGATGACACAGCTTCGGGTGATGATACAGCTTCGGGTTTAAGGTGCGCGTAAATTCTATTCCTCGCTCAAGGATTCTACAACGAAGGTAAGTTTCGGGAGGACGCCGCTAATGATTTTTGGACGAAATCAATATACTTCACGTGTTGTCCTTGGCTGTATTATGAGCAGCAAGCCAGAACGATTAAACAACGTCAGTTTATAAGTTGGACATTCTTTTTTTTTCTCGTCGTTGAGCTCGCGGGTGTGAGGTCGAAAGAAGTAATGATATTCTTCAAGCTGTAGGACGTACCGATACAGAGTCAAGATTTCGTTTCGATACCAAAAAGTTGGAGTATATAACTCAAAAAAAGGATTCTGGCAAAAAGCATCATAGCTTGCCTACGGTAGATCCGCGTTTCGATCTAGTGATTGGCCATGGAATACACCACTTTTTTCCTTGCTTACTATCTTCTTTCATCATTGTGAATTCGCAACACAGACCAAAAGTCAAAGTCTGGTCTAGTTTAAGTGGTCACTGCTCCATGGATATTGGATGCTGCGCTTTGAGAGTCGAGTCCGAGCTATGACTCGAAGCTGAAGTTGAGAGGATGGGGACAAGATGCCGATCCTCTTCATCGGAACTTCACGCCGAATCGAACGGCGATAAGGGACGAGATTTAGATGGGGTGTGCAAACAGAATAAAACCTCTTCATCATCTGAACCGGGATGATGGCCAGTACTGTAAGCAAAGTCTTCAGGATCGTTCTCCCTATCATCCTCGGTATCGTCATCTATGCCTGAAGTGCATTGTCGGCCTTGGCTCGGAACTTGGCTCAGAAGCAGACGTGCAGCTCGGACTTTGCAAAAATTATCGAATTGTCGGCAGCTTTGTCCATTCGCCACCGACAACGACGTAACCTCGAAGTTGGAGATTACTGTATCCATCAATTCCCTTCGGGTACGAGCCTGTTTCTTTGAGTGCGTCTGTGGTGGAATTCCAGGAGCCTGTCTGGAAGAGTGAAGGTCGTTTGAGGGTTCGCGCTGTGCAGAGAATGTGTCACCTCGCCGGGAAGGGAGAGACGAGTGTACTTTCCGTGGCATGACACTCTGTGTCTGTTCAACGAATGATGGCAAGCAAAAAGGGTATGGAGACCTATGGAGACTCACGGAGAGATTTGATAACGAGGAGTTTCTGTATCGAAAGCGCTTAGCAAAGCCAAAGCAGCCTTCAGTATGTAATTTCGATTCACCATCGTATTGTAGTTGAAACTCGACCAATGTTTCTTCAAAAATCCTCGTTGCTACACACTGCTCAATGACGGGATCATGCAGGTTTGTATTCTGTTATCAACATTTCTGACGAGCTCGAAGACAGCAGAGTTAATACTTTGAAATACGACAGAATGCGATTAGATTCTGCAAAAAGATACAAAAAATGAAACACCATACCTTAGCTTCCTCAAAATCTTTTGTTACTTTGATCGTCTCTTCACCTTGAAGTCTGCGGTAGTTTCGTTTGGAAGAGTGATCTGAGTAGCGAAATCGCATGTATGTGGAAGTAGGAGCGACATTGAAATTTCAGGACTCAGTCCTACAGGGCTGACATTATAAACCTTTCCGAACCACCTAATGGGTCCGAAGGTTTAGTGCATTGACATGAGGCTATCCTTGGGATCCATCGAGAGACCGCAGTAAGAAGCCAATGACATGGGAGTTCACTTTGAGCGTTTAAAGGTAAGTAACAAGATGATCAGCGGACTGTATAACATCAGGCGCCTGTTTCGAAAACCTCCCGCAGTGCGCACAATCAGACTCACGATGTCTTTTTTCCAAAGATTCTGGCACTTCGGTTTCCCACTTGGTGGCAAGCACGTTGAAAAAAGATCTTGTCTGACCACCGCAGGACTCGAACCTGCAACCTTTTGGTAACCCTGTTTAGCAATCGAAGCCAAACGCGCTACCATTGCGCCAGGTAGCCATGCTGCTTATACCGTGAGTAAATATTATATCGGTATACACAGCGATCCTCGCTTCTACTTGTCGGTTCTTTCTTAGACACCCTTTTCAGTACGGTCTAACACTATACATACGCGTATCGCTGAGCGTAGCGAGATTCGGAACATAATCATAAAATAAGTTCTCTAATTCTATATTCAACCTCTACCATGCCTGAACCGCGTGGAGTTCATATCAAGGCCTGCAGGTCTTCTGCATAAATATAACCTAGTTGTGCGTAACCGCTCATTGTTTCATGGATAACTACCGCAAAAGCAGATACTCCTCAACAAATACTCCGAGCTACTATCATGACCCTCCCCGTACCTTCAAGCGTCTCTCTCCTACAGAACAATTACATTTGTACTTCCGCCGCCGTCGTCGGTTTGTTGGCTTATCATAACTCCAACTCCAAGCAATACTGCTTCCATGCCGCTACTTTTCTGAAAGTAGTAGGTCGAAGGACTTCCGCTACCATCTTCAGAGATGTTCCTCGACTGTTACTCAGTTTTACGCGCTCTGGAGCTGTAAAGTTAGGCTTATATTTGGGTCACCTCAAAAACACGTCTGTATCTCCACGATGCATCCTGAAAAGGTTATACAATCGATTCCGACATTTCCTGATTCCTTGGTGGCCCGGAGGACTAAAGCTCCCTTATTCTACATACCCCACACAGGAAGCAGAGCAACGATATTGGGACTCTGCGAGAGCATTTCGAAGGCAGCTGCAGAGTTCGGATGCAAGATTCTGTGCCCCTTGCTCTTCCGGTCTCGGAACGAAGAATGATTATGAACAGCGAGTTCCAGTTATATCATCGTATCAACCTGCGCTTCCGCCTCTTCGAAATTCTCGGGATGTTGGCAGAAGCTTAGGATCGGGCTATGAGAAGGAAAAAGCGAAGAAATACTTTCTTACGACGAAGGCATTCTGTAAATGGCATCGAATGACATTTCCTGATCAAGTACGTTCACTTGCGCCTTCAAAAGAACTGTTGACAAATGTGAATCTCTTGGTTTTTTATTCCTTGTTTCTCCAGCCCTCGCTCAAACCACTGACAGCTGCTCGCTTGAAAGAAACATACAGTGGCACTGAAAAGCAAGAGATTCATCGGATTTCGAGGCTCGTACCCAACAAAAAGGCGTTTCGAAAGAATGACAATCTGCTCGATTCGCGTAGATACTATTATCGAGATATGTGGGATTCGTGGCAGGAGAAGCATTCAGTGGACGTAGAGGTGATTTTTGAAACAGAATGATTGTAAATTAGTTGGAATATAAGACCCTTATAAGCAATATAGATTGGAACGGAATTGATGGGAATACAGCAAGTCCCATAGTGAACCTGGAAGCAACAAGTTATGGGCATCAAATGCAAGGGTTACCTACTACATTAGAAAAAAAGAGCGAACCAGAAAGAAAAGATAGGGAAAAGGAAGACGCAGATTCGGGAAGCCATGAGATCCAGCTTCGAGATTCGCGAATCGTGACGATGAGCAGTACTCCGGCGATAGTTCGGATGCTGGCTCGTATTGAGCCCTAGTCAATATACTCTATTGCCAACAAATCATCACGATCTTGATCTTTTATCTATCTGGTTACATACTCTTTTACTCCAAGGTATGCATACCCGGCTTGTTCAACTCCCCCACCTGCTTCCACGCATCTCTCCCAGTAATCTCCGACCACCATCGCGCCACATTTGGCCTTTTCTCGTTCAAAAATACCTGTTCGTCGCACTGAGTTTGCAATGCAAACCCGTTAGGAAGGTGATAGATGTCTGCGAGACTGTATTGCTGGACAGAGTACAATCAGTTTGTAAGAGTCAAAGGACAGTGTTGTTCTACAACTTACGTTCCCTCCGATATATCTTTGTTTACCCAAAATGACTTCATACACATCCAAAACGAGTTCAACGCGTTTGAGCAGGACAACGTACAATTCATCATCGCACGATGCTCCCGTCTTGAACCTTCGTAATTCATATGATCCGGGTTCATTAGGACGATGCCCTAAGGCTTTTTTGAAACGAGAATCTAGAGACTCACGGTTTGAAGAGTTTCTCGTTCAGCGCCGCGAAAACACAAGGGTCGACAGTCCCAGCTTCCATCGCCAGACCTTGCTCAAACAGTCCCCTCGCTTCGAGGTCCGTAGGAGCGGGAACCAGCTGTGTTCCTTGATCTGCGTATTTCTCTGCGATGTACCGACAGATGGCTCGACTTTCGTACAGACGGAAGCCATTCTCTTCCTCCTGTGCAGGTTCAATTATCTCGGTGTTCCGCTTGACTTGGACCCAACGAATGAAATAGCTCACCAAGACAGGAAGCAAACCCCAAGGCTGCATCTCCTTGTACGCTGGTTCCTTGTGTTCACCTTTGACGATGTCAACCTCGATGATTTCGAATGGGACCTTCTTCTCGACCAGAACGCAGATGACGCGTTGGGCCGAGGTAGAGATTCCGTGAGAGTAGAGTTTGAGGACCATTTCTGCTCTTATATCTGCTAGCACACGTTTTGTATATTCGTTGCGTTTCAGGGTAAGAAGAGAGTTTTTGGGAAACTTGGGAAAGAGGATAGCACGATACACTCCAATATATGAGGCTCGGTAAACATCTCGCTTAATGGCTCTGGGCAGTGGACTACCGCTGAGGAAGATAAAGTTTGAGCTTCGGCCACCCGAAGTCTTTGCTAGCTTACAGTTGCAGGTCCAACCGGAGATAACATCAGCAAAACCCTTGTGCTGATGCACCATCGCACGGAAGCCCGTCCGTGTTCCCATTGACTTCATGAGAAGTATCCGTGAAGAACATCTTATTTCGAAATGTTGAAAGAGTATGCTACAGATATATGATACGTAGATTAGCCTCTAGATGACGAGTAATCTGAGTGCAGAAGAATACATCATGAAGTATGTTGAGTAGTGTTTCTCTAATATGCGATTGTAGCCAATAAGAGCGCATCGTTGGATGGTTACATTCTGGAAAGATGAAATCTTGAACAGCGCTCTCTACGGAATCTGGTTCAGAATTTCCCCCATATTTTCTTGAGGTACAACTGTCGAGTGAGAACCATCAATGCTGAGGCAACGACGATCATCGAGCCTAGCACAGAGATGGTCCGTTCGTTCAGCACACTTGGATGCAAAAGAAGACATCTTACCTGCGTAATACCCTACAGCAGTGTAACCTCCGGTATTTGCGTTAATGGCACCAGATATTGGAGGACCAAGAAGAGCTCCGACTGCGCCGATAGTCATGATCATTCCTGTTCGTCGACCGATGTCGTGCACATCTGACATTTCGTAGATTGGCATAAGAAAACAAGAAACGTATACCCCCGAGGCAAACCTGTGATTCCACCGACCATCAGTAACAAGAAGAGCAAGAGAGATTAAAGGCTAAAGTTGTACCCGTAAATGATAGCAACGACGACAAACCCAGCTTTTGTTTTAGCAAACGGCCAAGCATATGTCAGTACCGCCGCTACTAAAGTCATTGGCGCCATGAAGTTGATGCCACCTACAGGACGATGAGTCGCTACAAGCAACAAACACACCAGATGAGCGTACCTATTTTGTCGCATGCAATTCCGGACGACAATCGACCGAATCCAGAGGCAGCATTAGCGATCGAAACAAGATAGAAGGAAAAATCCTCGTCAATGCCTGCTGCCGACGCACTGATATCGATATAGGTAAGAACTGTCAATATCGCCTCAGCGTCAGTTCGAAAAGCACGGAACTCGAATAATACCAGTGTAGAGTCCCAGAAAAGCAATAAGAGAAGATATACAGTAAACTGAGTACGGTGCCGATTTGAATGCAGCGAAATGAAACATTCCACCAGATATTCGCTTTGGGGGTAATCGTCGAGCAAGAAGCAGATTGGGAAAGGCAAGGACGAAAAGCATGATGAAACCTAAGATTCTCATGGTCCATGGAAAACTTAACAAACGGAAGTCAAATAAAGAATTGGAGGCTTATCAACATGAAACCTCACCCGACTTCGACGAGAAGCCTTCTGGTGGCAATAGGAATGATAGTTCCACCCAGAGAAGAGCCACATGCGTTGATTCCAAGAGCAAGTCCACGTTTCTGGGGACAAACCAACGCTCAAATTTTGTAAACATCAAGTGCCGCCGAGCATACCTTTTTAAACCAGTGACCCAAAATACCCATAGACGGCCCAAAGAGTGTACCGCAGGCCAACTAAGGTCAGGAACAGTTCAAATCACGATATTTTAACATCAGCAATATAGAACGTACTCCCAGTGCTATTCCTTGACAGAGGAGAAATTGCCAGTACTCTGTACATTGTCCAGTGAGGATACTAGTGGCGACTAGGATTACGCTGGCGACTGCGAAAGGGATTTTGAAGATGCCAATATCAAACATTCGGCCGGTGACAAGTCCAGGAAAAAATATCAGGGCATACTGGGCTCTGGATTTAGTGTTGTGGTCAAAGAGGTCAGATTGGCTCGCTGACCTGCACTGAGCCTATCCAAGCACTGACATGAACATATAAGAGGCCGAAAAAGGTCGACTATTGATATTACACACATATCGGATGGCGAAGAATCTTTCAAGAGGGTTTGCTCGTAATAAGATTGAAAAACCTGAGAAAAGATCTCAGGAAGTAGCGAAGGAGGAATGGAGAGCAACACCCACACCCCAAGAATTAACGAATCCGAATCTAGGACGCGATCAGACGATGTTTGTCAATTACACAGGAACCACGTACGTCGCAAAAGCGGACAAGGAGGTCTGCAATGTATTCGAGTCAGCCAAAGAAATGAATAAAGGGAGAACAAGATTACTTGCACCCAATACGATAGACCAAGCCCTTAAGCCACCATCAGGAAAATCGTCCAAGTTTTCTCCCATCGGAGTCTTCCTGTCAATACTAGTGTCATTTCCGACGTCTTCGTTGTTCTTCTCGTTGGCAGGAGAACCAGTTTCATGAACTGTTTCAAGCGAAGCCGTCTTGG